TATCGGATATACAATAACGTGCGTGATACTAAAAGAGGTTATGATGATAAAATAGACTAAAGAATATTATTACTCACACTGTATCAATAGAAGGTCTGATCACATAAACTACTCTGATAACTGACCGTTCATATATTTAAGTTTACTTTCAAATGAGGTTGTGTTGTACATAATAGATGTGGGCCCTGATAAGTTGTTTAATATTCTGTAGTGTTTAGGAATTTTACGATGGATTTTATTGTGTAATGAAAATAATCTCCAGGTTAAACCAATCTCTATCACTTATCTGTTTGAATATATTTATTGACGTAACTATTTCTTGATCTTTAAAATGTTGAATGGGTTTACTATGCACAAATGACACTTAAACAATTATGTTAAGATAAGAATGAATGAACGCTTATTACAGTGAGTCGTAAAATTTTAAAAAAAATGCATCTTAATCGGTTTACTGAAATGAAAATGTACTTTGATTTAGTTGGTAAAATATAATCACAAGAAAGTGTACATATGAATTTCTCATCAGGTAAATAAAACTAAATATGCTTGTAGTTACTTAATTATTCAAGTACTATTTAATCTCCCTTTTAATCAACTGGTATTTTGGTTTGCTTTACTGATCTTGATAGATTTAATTAGTATCATCAATCGAAAGTGAAATGCCTAACAGCAAAAGGTTAAGAAGTTCGAAGAGAAGAGAATGAGAACAGAAAATGATTGTCGTGGAAACGAAGAAGCAATCAAGTTTGAGACGATTGATTGACATGTTACAAATGAAGTATTTACTGTATTGTTCTCAGATTTTACTAAGATATTCTGTAATTAAGTAATATGTTGACGCTTTAAGTGGTGTTTAGTTTATTAGTAGAAAAGTGAAAAAAAGTAGAGTTTATGATTAGATTTATCTCATATAAATAACAATGAAATTTAAGCCAAAATGATTCATGGCATGAAATAATAAGTGAATGACCTATTTTTGTATAGAGAATAAACAAATCGATTTAAATTGAATGAGATTTAATGATTGTTTTAGCAATATGATAATATTTATTGATGATATATACATAGTCTAACTTATCTACACAACTTTAAATATGATATTCGAATATTCGTCAAGATTAGAACGAATAGTTTGACAGTAATTGAGCGCCGAGTATAGAGAAGTCATTGTATGTTAAAATTATATTTGAAATAATCTTAGCGATTGAAATTTAAAATAATTCGAACGTTTCGTCCAACTAACTTGTCTGAACTTCTTTGATTATTTTGATTTTGATTATTACCCTGAAGAAGTCCAGAAAAGTTAGCTGGACGAAACGTTCGAATTATTTAAATTTTAATCGCTAAGATTATCTCACGTATCATTTTCACATATAATGGCTTTAAATATGATAATCTAAAGAAAAAAATAGAACAGTTCTTCAAATTTGATTTTATCGTTAGTTAATGTTTTATACGTTATCCAATTTACATATCACATAGAAGGATAACCACTTTGTTTATTTGTATATATCTAATGACGTGATGTTTAAGAACTAATTTGTTCACTGTTACATATACACTTTCTTAATTTTAGAAAGTAAAAATGAAACATGATGGTAAATCTACTAAGTGGTAGTGATATACAACATGCTTTTTCGAAAGAAGAATTTGCATACTTTACAGTTTGACTATATTTATGATATACTGTTCTCTAAGGAAGAAAATTTAATTTCTAGAATCAATTGACTACTTTAACAAGTACCATACAGATATACTAATCATAAAACATAAAAACTATAAAAGTGTCTTGTTTAAATGTACTGTGTTAGGTTGAATTTAAGTATTGAAATTACATTTCATTTATACTGTGCTTAGAAAGTCAGTTAGTTACATTTTTGGATAAAAATAAAACGTCACTGTTTTTTTATTACAACAAAACAAGTATAAAAAGTATTCCAGTATGTGATTAACTTATTCTAGTTAGTTACTTTCATTTTAGATACAAATAAATTGGTAACTGACAACAAAGTGTAAATTGAACAACTCGATTTTAAATAGGAGAATGTTAAATTTTAAAAAGCGACAATGATGAGACTATAATTTATGAACGAACTAATCAGATTTAGGATAACAGTTCTTGAATTTTGTTACGAATTTCACTCATCTATTCTTCCAAATAGCCTCTTGGCATTTTAACTGATGTCAGTTCGTGATGAAAACCATAAATCTAAATCCTACCCATAACCATCAACTGTAAATCATTTTTTATTCTTCAAACTGCTTTATAACCTTCATTTAGTACTATTAAGTAGATAGAAACTCTCCAGGTCAATTTGGCGTCACTCAAAGGTCATCCATAAATTATAGTCTCACCACGACAACTTCAATACAAGAATAACTTATCTTCCCAAGATTTATTGTTGAACAAATCATTTTTTTTTAAGATTTCCAATTATATAATATAAATATAATAGATACAAGGTTCGAATATTTTGTAAACATTATCTTTTATCTTTTGTTTAAATTTATGAGAGTAAAACAATATAACCATAAAAATTTCTAAATTCAGTAATCAGTTCCTCATTTTATAGATTAATTCTTGTAATTTGAAGCATTAAAAAAAAAAGAATATGTAACAGGAATTGATCAGTGTATGGAAGTTAAAAACTATTTTCAGAAAATAATAAATAGTATTGATTAGAGAAAAATGAAAAAATTTGATCAACTTACTTGGATACATTTATTTATTTACAGAAATATTTTCCCCCAAAAAATCAATAATCCAAAAATCAATAAGAAATCAATCTGAACTATTTGTGTTTTTTTGTTTTTGTTTTTTTTGGAGTAACAAATTTATTTATATTTTCTTGTTTAAAAAAAAATATATTTTTGTAACATAAAGGAAAAAAATTATTATTCTAATATGAATAAACAATTCTTTTTGATTGGTTATTTGAATAATAAATTTTTCCCAATTAACTAATATTTATGTTCTGATTGGATAGATAAGTAGATAATAAATTTTATTTATGATATGATATATGTTACCATGTAAGATTTTTTATTAAAAATTTCAATCATTTTTTGTTGTTATATTATCAATTATTAACCAATCATTCAATTATTTGTGTTAATATAATGTCAATATGAATAACCTTTAGTTAAAAGGATTTCCTTTGATAACTGAAAGGGATAAAAATGACGAATATCGATTATTTGTTATATCTTTCTTTAATAGTCAAGTGTTTTGTGTATTGACAAGTTGTATTCATGTTATCTTATTGTATGTAATAGAATAATTCAGTTACAAGATGGATATTGGCTAGAATTGAAATCCACAACGCATGTTTCGTCCTATTTAGGATTTGTCTTTCCTTAAAAAGCTTGTGACCTAAGGCTATATCGAAGCAATCTGCACAGGATGCACCTATGTCAACTAGTGATTGATCAATTTTAGTCCTAATATAACAATAGGAAGATATAAGTAAACAACACCAAATGAATTTAATTCAGTTACCAGCTAACAGTCTTGGTGAACGTGTTTTTGAAATATTCCCATATTGTAAATTTAGAACAACATATATAAGCGAACAATATTGTTTTCGATTAGATCCTCATCAGGCTTTACTCTAATATACAGTAATATTTATATGCATATTCGAAATTATTAAACCAATCAAGGTAGTTTATAAGTCAATAATAACAATGTAAACGATTACATAATATGTAAAATGTGAAAAGTACAAATTGCTAGTGTGATGACAGGTGTACTAGGTTTGATAAGAATAATAAAGGTTCAAATCAATGTTACATAATCGTTCAAAGTTATTCATCGTATTCCCACAAGTTTTCCTTATGGTGTTCGATCTCGTCTCTTACACATAGCAGAAGCTATAGGAATCCGAGCCAACAAGCCAAGTCTTTGTGTTCAGAAGAAATTTGTAACACTCTTATCTCTCCCCTGGCCTTAAGTAATAAATGAATTTATTTATCCTTTTTCTAACTTTTTCTTCGTTTATTATTTTTCTTCACACCCTCCTACCACTTTATTTTCTCTCAACTATACGTTTAATGGTCCAATTATCTGAACATTTCTTATTACGTCATCTTATAATTTTATAATGGTTATCTCAGTTTCTATATTTTTATAATCATTAGCCTATTTCCGATTATATAACATTGATTTGAACCTTTATTATTCTTATCAAAAACTAATGCATCTGTTATCACACTACCAATTTGTACTTCTCACTTTTCACTTATTATGTAATCGTTTTCATAGTTATCATTGACTTATAAACTACCTTGATTGGTTTAATAATTTCGTATATGCATATAAATATTACTGTATATTAGAGTAAAGCCTGATGAGGATCTAATCGAAAACAATATTGTTCGCTTATATCTATGTTGTTCTAAATGAACGTGTTTTTAACTGTGAATATCAATCAATCAATAATCAATAATCGATATTTTTATTCACAGGGTAGTATTTTATCCAATAGCGATTTTCTTTAAAAAAACTTATATATGACTATCATTTTTTTCTTACTTGATAAACACTTTTCATGTCATTACAATTTTTGATCTGATTATCTGAAAAAAATCTAATCAATAACGAATAATTTGCATAATGTTTGTAACGTTTAAACAATGTAATTAGATGTTCCATATATTGAAAGAACATTATTTACTATATAAAATAGTATAATAATACTTATTCTCTATGATAATATCAGGAAGCAAGCTTTCTTAGTTTCTTCATTGTTGATCAAGATGGTGTGGAATTTTGGTGATACTTATACATTTATACTGTTTGAATTACTGCAGTAGAATTTATTAAGTGGTGATAAGTCTATAAACCTGCTTTCCCATCCAAATGAAAGTGGTCGAAAAAACCACATATTATTACATAGGATCTTTTTCTTGAAAGACAGTAAACCTATTAGTTTAAGCTAGCTGACTTAGTGTACTTTGATTAAGTTACTTTAAATATTAGTCCAATACATTCAGCTTACTTTGACTGTATGAAATCCGGTTTTAAAAACCGTTGGTTAAGTAGCATGGAAAGAAAAAGTTAGTATTTGGCTAAAATTCTAAATTTTAATAAATATTACCTTGACAGATGTCTACATAAAAAGCATTTTGTTTAGGTAAATAATGAAATTTAACGGTTTAGTATTGCGGGATACAAAACGTTCATATACTTCTAATAAACGCGTAAAACTTTATGATTTCGAATTCGTATTAGTTTACCTAAATCGAATTTTCTACTAATCGTTTATTTCACAAAACGATAATCAATAGTAATCTTAGCTATTGAATAACTAAATTTGACTACGACCTTTCGTGGTCAACTATAATTGTCTCTGTCATCTTTATTCAGGAATCTTTGTATTATTATTATTATTGGTTAGACATCATTATTAGTCTCCCCTATACATGATTCATTCACTTCGCATTTGTACCTCCTTATTACATCTTACTAAGTTTTCACACAATATAGCCTTCCACTAAACATTTGACCGAATTGTAATTTCACTATTATTTCTCTCACTCTATCAGACACAAATTTATTCTGATAATACGCAAATTCAAGTTAAAATTCTATCTGAGTCATATCAACATTAACAATTTTATTGTATTTTCAATGGTTGAAATCATGAGTCAATTGAAGCTAGACAACCATGGAAAACCTGGTAGCACTAGACGGCTATTTCGTCCTAGTATGGAACTCCTCAGTAGTGCGCATCCACGATCCGTCCCCCTAATGGTGTACGGTGGCGCGATTTCGTGGATTGGTTGAACATTAACACCACTGGATGTCGAGTAGCTCAGTGGTCTAGAGGTTAAGCGTTAGCACGCGAGAGTGATAGGTCCTGGTTTTGAACCTCGCAGGGTGCGGGATCGTGGATGCGCCCTACTAGGATGAAACGGCCGTCCAGTGCTTTCAGATTTTCCATGGTTGTCTAGCTTCAAATGACTCATGATTTCAATCATTGTATTTTGTTTAAGAATTCTAAATTCACATACTTTAAATGATGTACTTTGCCTTTAACCTGACCATTTTTCAGATTATTAATTTGATTATATAATTGTAGTACCCGAATAGAATTTATCGAAACGAATATTCTTCGTTCAAATATTAGTCTTTTAAAACGGTAAGTCACAATTTGGTTTATTAATTAACATGATATACAGTATCCAAGCCGTTATACTAATATCATACACAAATCAGTAGTATCTAAAGATGACATATTAATCTTATAGTAAATAATAAGAAATGATAGAAATTCTCTTTATATGTATTACATTTTAAACAACAAAAAAAAAAACATGGCAATTTATTATTTGACAAAATATAAAATCAAATTGTACAATTTTGTAATGACTTTTTTGTTTGTTTGTTTTATTTGTCTTCTCTTCAAAACAACTAAATTTTTCATTCATAATTCAATTCAAATTTATAATTCTTCTTGTTTTATATGAAGAGAAAAAAAAGCACAAAAAAAAAGCAAACAGAGAAAACAAACTACAGAATAGAATTTATTAATGACCTTAAAATGATTTCAATTAAATAGAAACATACTTATTCTAGGAAATTAATGTGAACTATAGGACATTTTTTTTATAATACACAATGATAGATGAGCAAATGAGGCTAATTAATACGTTTAACTTCTCTTTTTTTTTATAGTTTAGTTTTAATTAATCATAAAATAAGTTGTATGTATGTGTGTGTGTGTGTTTGTTACTTTTTTCGTTTATTGAAGAAGACAAATTTCCATTTTGTACCATGAACACTAGTGTTTTTTTCTCTCTTTAGATCACTATGAGAGGAAATAATGAAAATGAGTTTAATGTATCAAATAAATTAATTTCTTTTATCATCTGAATTCTTTATTTATAGAGATTAAAATAATATAAATTTTCCTTCAAGGTATAGTGTGTGTATGCTACTGATATTGATAATTATAAGTAGTGTGTATAATCAATCGAAAATGAAATGCATGATATCAGAAAGTTAAGAAGATAGAAGACAAGAACAGATAATGATTGGCGTAGAAACGAAAGAATAATGAAATTTGAAACAATTGATTGACATTTTACAAATGAAGCACTTACTGTGTAGTTCTGAGATTTTCAGTCAGTCAGTAACAACGTAGAACTTCGTACGTACGTACATCAGTTCGAGTTGCCACACCACATTAGCACAGAGATGCAGTGGTCGATTCAAATCCCGTAGTGCTAGATGTGGTAAAATTATAAGACGTAATCAGAAAAATTAGGGTTTGAAGTTGTTATTTAAGGGGTATAATCCTGTGAAATAAATTTGGGAAGAGAGAAATGAAAGGGACATGAAGAATTCAGAAGATTAGAATTTGGGAGAACACAAAGAGTGTATACACCTTCACCATTGCAAACGATTTTGAGCCATGTCATTCAGGATCTCTAACTATCGGTTGCTATCATCTCGAGGTCCCAAACCAGGTAGTCTACACCTATTAACATGGCTCAGTCCACTTAACAGTGACTTCATGGATTTGTGCCATGTTTTGGTCTGGTCTCCCCTAGCTTCCAACCTACTCCTGCACCAGAAAACATCGCACGTCGGGGCAGTGGGTCGTAACACGTATCCCAGCCATCTTAACTGATGAAGTTTCACTACTTCAACATAGTACCCATTTCCTAACAACTGCGTTACTTACTCGATGGTTACAGGATATACGAGCAATGTTTCGAAGACACCAGTGATCAAATACTAGTAACCTTTCTTAGAGCGGTCAGAAGACTCTGCGTTTTGTCAGCGTCTTCACCAAATAAAACTATGTCATCGGCATATCCTAAGTCAACAAGTGAACCTCCCGGTAGAAGTTCAACCCTTGGAGATCTAGACGAAGAAAGTGTTATCCCTAAAAGTACATCGACGACAAAGTTAAACAAGAAAGGAGAAAGTGGACAGCGCTTTCTGAGATTTCACTAACAGATTCTGTAACTCTGTGTTCAAATACTGTTGGTTGTCCCTCATTCACTACGATACTAATTAATTAAACAATAGATCTTAGAGAATATTCAAAAATATGGAAGGAGAATGTTAGAAATATTTATAACGTTTGGTATTATATGTGAATTACCTTGAAATGAAAGCTAACACAATTTTAGCTGATAACACCGATTAAATACGAATAGTTAGTCAGTATAATAAACGGAAACTGTATACCTTTTTGTGACTAATTGTAGACAAGATAGGGTTAAGATGATATCAAAAATACAAGACACCGAATAGGCTTTACAGATTAAATAACCAGGTAGCAACTAAAATGTAATATCGAAAACGACAGTATAGTATATTCTAAATAATCTTTTTAGAATGAAGAAAATATTAGGGTCATTAGCTTCTGAACTCGTTGAACTTCATGTAGGTATTACCAGTGAGTTTGCTACTTAATAAATTCAGATAATAAAAATAAAGCCTTATTGAGAACATCTGTCAAATACTTTATGAGTATCAAATACGTTATATCACTTAATTGTCAGGTTTCAATTACTGTAATTCTCTACACGCTTTACGTTGAAAATAAGTTAAAAGTTATCTATTTAAATTCAAACCCTGATGACCCAAACAATAAAAAATAACTACATAAATTATGATATAAAGGTTATAAAAATTGGAAACTGACACTTTATTGGATTTAAAACTTAAATGTTTTGCACAAGACTGGTTCAACTGAGACAATAACCAATCAGTAGAATATGATGAGCATTGAGGACTAGAAAGGCATGATGTCGGAGATCATTCGCTACCTATACAGTTTAGTTGTAAAGTCTTGGACTGTGAAACTATATGGCAGGGGTTTGAACCGTACACAGATCAACAACTACTCGGGATTAGAAGTATGCTGACGAATTCCAGCTGACGCAAAGCTTGGGTTTAACTACCTATCGACTGCTAACAACTACCTAACACTAATCAAGTTTTAGTCCTTAAGTTTTACTTTACAATGGAAATTTTGAATTATTGACTGACTGTTTTCTTGAAGCTAACGGAAACATAAGCTCAATCTGAATATGTTTATCAGTAGTTAGTTAAAAGCCATTAACAAAATAGTGTTAACAGAGTCGACTATATTCATCGTAAGAAATGGAAATTCTTTCCCCGTTTTCTTTTCAGATATATTGTTAAGCACGAATTCCAAGATTATATATATATGTATATCGCCATTCCTCGTATATAATTATCGACTTAAATCGCGTTAGTGAATAACGGAATTAAATAAGTCAAATACAAGAATGGATTTTCGAATACATATATTTTGTACACTCATTGGTCTGGACAGACAATCAGAGGAATGAATCGAAGAGAAGAGAGTGAAACGAAACGATGCACGGTGGAGAAGGAGTGTGAACCAACACCATTTAATTAAGCGTGAATCCATATTTATAGTCACTCAAAAATGAGGTACAGATATGTGATGAGTAGGATAAGATATACACACATACGCTCATAGAAAAACGAATAATTATGAAGGTCGAAATGTGACTCAGAAAGAATTATTAGCTTGGCCTGTCCAGATGCTCAAATAACTTATACGTGCTTAACATAATAACCGACACTACTAACTTAATTAGAATTTTATACACTTTCTTCACGAGTTAACTTTTTATTTATTTTTATGCACTAATTAATAAACAACCTATTCAGGATATACTTTTATTCCTGAAACAAATAAAATGCAAATCAGTAACATTAATAAATTGAAGTTATCTGCTCAGAATTTTCAACTGTTATTCATATGTAACATAATAAAAATGGATTCAATAAAAAAGATCATAATGAGGTTTCTTTTTCACTAATACAATTAATTACCCATTACTTCAAAGAATATGAAATTTATTGTTTTGTAATTATATCTAATACAACTAATGCAAAAGGCAATGAAATAAATGTCAAATATTTTTTTCTTCGTAATAATTAAATCAGAAATGTATTATTGAACTTTTAAAATTGAAATTCAAACCTTTAAGTTTGATAATAATAATAATAATAATAATAATAATAATAAT